ACGRTGAGTGAGGAAGTTGATTCTAAAGAGTCAACATTCCTTCATTAGAACCATGCAGAACCAGAACCCGCCTGTTCGACCACTCTTCAGCGAGTTGATAATATGTACAGCAGCGTGATATTAAATCAATGTGTGCGGATGATCCTGTGCGAAGGATTTAAACTGAACCTTCCTCTGAGGACAGACACTGGTCTGATGTAACACCAATGTCACTGAATGCAATTTTAAACAGAATACACACACATTTAATAATAAACCAGCACCGTATTCATGTTCCAGTCACTGAATCTGTATGTACAGTATGTAATCTGTATGCTGGTTTAGATACAATAAGCTCAGGTTTTTGTTGTTGTTGAAGCATTAGCAGACATGGATAAAGAGGGCTGCTCGGTGGTCTTATCATTCTGAGGCTGCAGGTTCAAGCCCAGGTTGTGAAAGGAATGTCATCGTGACGACTACTAAATCTTTCAAAAAAAAAAAACATTTAAAAAAAGGTTCAAGTCAAGTACTTTGTGAAAAGATGTTTGCATTTATCAGAGGGCAGTCACTCACTGCCAATGTTTGTGTCCTTCCTACGTCAAGATATACTTTAATCGTCAATTAACAGATTAAAAATGTGCCTCCCATTTTTAATCACACTGCTGTCGCACACAGTTCACATAAATATCACACAACTTTAGACGAGATGCTCTGCCATTCTGTTATTCTGTRATTCATCTTCAATCTGATCAATATCGTACATAAATATTAAATCCAAAGGAAARGCGCTCTGACACCCAAACAAACAAAACCTGATAAAGCTATAAAGAAAACAAGAGTTTTTGTGTCATTGCTGTGATAACTGTGCACTAATCTAATAACCTAGCTTCTCATTTAACGTATTAGCTCTTATGCTAACTTTGGAAAKTGTTAGTGGACGGGATAGCTTCTGCTAATTTTAAGTCCACCAAAAATTCCTTCTACAATCAGTTCTGATGTGTCAGGTACCGCGTGTAGCATATAGCATCTTTAGCAGCTAAACTTATAAATAATAAAATAACATTTAATAATATATAACAAATACAAAAACTGACTACATATAAAATATGGTACAAAAAGTATTTGCAATTTGTTGTTTGGCTTCAAAACAGTATTCATAAAAACATAAACTGGATCAAAGAAATGATTTTATTCTGAAAGAGGTAAACTGGTATCGCAAGAAAGACAAAACTTTGGTTTGGATTGGCCGATTTGCCACAGATGGTCCCACATTCAAATTATATAAATCTAACAGAAAGGTTTGCATCAGACATTCCCATCAGTCTAACACTGGAACGAGACCAAGATGTGTGGACTGAATGAAAGTTGTCTTAGCGGCTAACATTAGCTTCCTCTAATTTTTTATTGGTTTAGCATTAGCAGAGCTGAAATTCTTGTTTAGCGGATCAGTGGTTATGAACCTAACGTTTTGGTTAGCTGTGCCCTCCGCTGCCTGTAAGCTGCAACGCTTCTGCATTTTTCTGGTTATTTGTGTTTTCTCCTATTAATCTGATGTCAAAATTTAAAGGCAAAAAGAGCAACACGACTCAATTTGGTCAAATGTCTTTCCATTATTTTTATTTGACGATTTTGATGTAAACTGCTACTAATGTTGTTTAAAATCTGTGGCTCAAAGTACGTCATTATCCAAGAAGTATTACATCCATTGTATGTGTTACGTGTAAACTGTGTGAAGGGATCTGTTTTGTTTTATGAATACAAAGTGTAGAACATTTTCACCAGACATCATATTTTGAGTCTTTTGTTTGGGGGAAAAAAACAATGATTTAAAACACTTTTTTTTTTTTCAGAACGTTGAATTTCTTTCAGATTTGGTAAGAATCAGGGAACAAAGGTTGCACAACCGTGACAACAGCCTTTATTGAATTAAATGCCAGCAAACAGATTGGTTTATTTTTGCAGATCGCTACGAAATGTTGCAGTGAAATACAGGCCCTCTGTGCGGTTTTATACCCCGATGAACTACCTACAGATGTTAAGCTCTGGTGACAAATCTTTCTGAAAGTTAAACAAAAAATTAGGTTTTGTTAAACGCCGATATTAATAACAAAGTCATCTAAATATTTAACTGAAGCAAAGTTTTTAATGCTTTTCTTCCACATTACAGCTTTGCCAGGACTACACCCCGGTGTGTTGTCATGTCCAACTTTTTTGCTACATGGTTTCATGGTGGTATTTTTTTATGTGTTGAAACTGGATCTTTTTGTCACTCATCAGTGTTACACGTTGGAGCGTCTGTTTTTGGGGAGTAGATGGAGAACACAAGGGAGTGAAGGGAGGACCGCAGGAAAAGGGAGGAGAGACAAAAAAGTAAAATAAAAACAGGTTTCTTATCACCGACTGGATGCCAGTTGATGTTTGCAGTCTGGTAAAACAAATCCAAATGGATTTTTTTCAGCAGGTTCAGAGATAAATGCAACACATTTTCTTAGAAGGTCATAAAGTAGGCTGCATTAAATCACTTTAAAGCAGATTTAGTTTAGCAGTAGTCAAGTGAAGTTTGACAGGAGACCTTGTCAGTTCAAATGGTAGCCTTGATGTTTTCTGTGTCGAATTTTCTCCCTCCCGTGTAAGCGCTCACCCACATGTTGCCCAGGCGGATGAAGAAGGGAGGAAAATAGACAAAGGAATACYTTCTGGGATAGGCTGAGCTTCATCCAGCTTGTTTTGCTACCTATTCCTAATCTTTTATTTTATTTTATTTTTCTGTGTTTTACAGTTGAACTCTGACAAAGCTTTCTATTTTGAGAGGTTTGTGCAATATTTTGAGCTTACTTCACCTCGACAGCTTTGTCTGATCTTTATATCAGGTGTTTTACATGCCAGCACTCCAAGCAAGAAGTCATGTGGCGATGAAGTAGCGCTGATTAGATGTTAAACCCGGTAAGGTTTTGTCCTAAAATTGGAAGGCGAAAGTGCACAAGCTGGGTTGTTGCATTTTTTTATGTTTTCAAAACTTTGGAAAAGCTACAAATATGACGGCAAACAAAAGATGTTCGAAATTTTAGCTCTGAAAGTGAGACATAAYCCATAAACCCCCTTATCAGTTCATCTCATCTTAAACCGGCTTTAAAATTTGAACTGTCTGCTTGAATTTATAATGTCTATCGGTGTGGTCTGGAGTGTGTTTTTGAAGCTGGAAAAGAACACTGCTATTCTCGCCAAAAATAATATTGCCATGTTTGGTTGTGAATAACTTTTTATTCCGTTTACTGCAGAGCTGACTGCAGTTGAGATTTGTTTGGGTTATGCTGCTAACGAGGAGAACAAGCTAGTTATAACTAGCTGTAACTATTTTAGCCTCAGAAGAAGTTAGCGTTTGATAAAAACAATAATAAATACAAAATCAGAAATATGATCTGCTTTGCAAACATTTGAACATTGTTTAAAAAGGCTTTAATTAATTATATTATCATTATATGATAGTATATTCATATATATATTTGTTAACACTTATCTAATTTCAGTTTTAGTCAAAAACATTCTCGTTTCAATGACAACATACCATGTTGGTAATCAGAAATGATTGATTATTTTAGCTTGTCGTCTTAGCTAACACACAGCTAACTGTAGTTTTAGGCCGTGTTTACATGGGAACAATCTCAAGCTTTTCAATGTTAATGTTGAACACAGTAATGCTCTGATAATTGACTCTGCTGTAGTTTCCATGCCAGGACACTAGCTGGCACTGTGGTTTTTGTTTTTCAATGACACACAGACACTTAATCTTGAGTAAGAAAACAATCGCATTCAAAACGGTAAACGCATAAACCTACTTCGGACTGACTGAGGATAACGTTACAAGTAAAGAGGACAAGTTGCACAGTTAGCATAGTATTATTGTTGTTGKTCTATTTGTGAAAGCGGAGAAAATCTACTGACTTACTGAAATTTCATTTCTACAGACCTCCACTCTGAAGCCTGGAGTCAAAAAGCGTGTTTGTGAAAATGACTCAAACATAAACCTAGAAATAAATTTAAAAAAAGTGTTGTGTAAACAAGGCCTTAGCCAGACATTTGTTTTTGATTTAAAAAAAAAGAAAATAACTCTTTGTGGACTAGAAGAGATGGTGTTTATTATTGCGGAACCAAAAGAAAAAACTTTGTGAACTTTTATTATTTGTGCTAACTAGCAGAGTAGCCGCTTGTTTTAACTAATAGCTGAAGTTTGTCTGTTCAAAAAGCAACAGTTTTCTAACCAGAAGAGAAAGTTGATTTGATACTAATACTGCTGGGGGCGGAACGGAGACAACATGTCATGAAATTTTGCTGCAGAAGCAAAAACCTGCTATYGAGTTCAATAAATTCCTCAGGCAGTTTCTTGACACAATACTTTGTACGACTTGAGTATCTGGGCTCAAATGTCACATTATAGGTGTAAAAAAAAGTATTCTTTTTTTGACAGCAGGTTTATTGTCCCAATCACACACTAACATCTGACACACGAAGCACCCTCTTTCTCTCTCAAGCCCAATCCTGCCACAATGTACTTTTCCCCCTTACCTGTCCCTGCCCTTRGATAAGCAGACTCCACTGCCGACATGTTGTATCTTTTCCGATGGGATGGGATTAAGTTCAGCTACATGACATTTTAGGCCATTCCAAAGAACTGAGTCAGAGCATAAACAACTCCTACGTTTTTTCAGGAAAATATTTATCTTTCCTCATCGAAACTCTTCAGATAGTGTCAACACTGCTTAGAGACACAATTACATCTGAGTACGGAAAACTAAGAGTCCTTTTGGAGATTAAAGTGTACAATAAGAGTAAATCATAAAATCACTTGTAGATATAGAAGCATCACATCAATAGAGTTCAAGAACATATTAACTAAAATCACTTATCATGACGTGTCAARGTTTTGGCTTCTTCCGTTGCAGGTAAAAGAAAAAGAAAACAACTTTACAGACAGATCGACTTGCTTTAATGTGTTGTTTTTCTTTTCTTCTTTTTTAAAACAGTAACCACAACGATATCTCCAGCCTCAGGCCATGCCAGAAAATGCAACGACACYGAGAAGGCCTACTGTGTGAATGGCGGTGACTGTTTATTCATTCATGGTGTAAACAAGCTTTCCTGCAGGTGAGTTCTCATTCCTATACTTTTGGATTTTTTACTGCAAACCTTGTTTTTGTGCAGAACATTTGATGTTTGATAGAGMTTGCCCCTCAGTCCACCTAGGAACTATTACTTCTACAGAAGTTAGGTTATCATTCCAGCAAAATAAATCAGTAAATTGAATTTTTATGACATTTCCTGCTTTTTTCTTTCAGCAGCAACAYTAACACATGACAAGAAAACCTGCCAGTTTTCTAACAAGCCACCTGTTGTGTATTTTAAGACCAATATTGAAGCGTGCTCATTCTTTTAAGTCATGTTTAGTGTACAGGAGGGCCGCGCTTTAAAAGCCTTTTTAAAAAGTCATGAGTCACTGGTTTAGACGTGAGCAAATATTTATGCGTGTTAGAGGGCCCCCAATGAGGTAAATACAATCATTGCTTACATTTGGCAGAGAGGATCAAAACCCGTGTGCAAAGTGTGCCTGAGTAATCATGGACCTTTTTTTGCTTTTTAGGTGGAAAATGGGTTGACATTTTCTCAGAAKTGATCCTTTTTTTCCTCGTCGATGTTTACGTTTGAGTTTGGATTAGTCTTAAGGTCAAGCAGCATTAGCGAGGATGATGTTCAGGAGGAGAACATAAACATGTGGTTTCTTTGATGTTTGTAGCAGCTTTTTATAAGGTTTTATTATTTTTTATACTATTGCAGTTCCAACAATAAATAAAATGCTCATTTAGTAATCCTCGTGAGAGATGCACCGATTCTTGATTTGTGGGCTGATATTTGATTTTTGAATAGCTCTGACCTAATTTTCTTTCAAGGAACTAACCCATAAAAAGTTATATGCACGTTTTATTGTTATTATTATTATTATTATTATTATTATTATTATTATTAT